CGGGTGCAGGGGGACTGTCCCGGGGAGCCCCGGCTCCGGCCCCCGGGCAGCCTCCTCCTAGCGCGTGTAACGCTGCTTCCTTGGCCCTGCCCGCCCAGAACTGGAACGCCACGCACATGTTCCGGGTCTCCGAGGAGTTCTTCACCTCGCTGGGCCTGATGCCCATGCCGCCCGAGTTCTGGGCCAGGTCCATGCTGGAGAAGCCGTCGGACGGGCGGGAGGTGGTGTGCCACGCCTCCGCCTGGGACTTCTACAACCGCAAGGACTTCAGGTGCTTCCGGGAGCGGGCTGGGCCATCCCCCGGGCTGGCCCCGGGCCCTGCGGCACTGCCAGTGCTGGGAGAGAGCAGAGGGGCCTTCGTAGAGGGACAGTCCGTCCTGCCCCCGAGCTGGTCCCCCACCCTGGGACACCCAGCCCAGAGAGCCCCAGGCTGGCCCCAGGCCCACGTGCCCACTGCTTTCGTGTGGGGGGTTTGCCAAGCCCCGTGGCAGGGAGGCTGGGGCAAGACACGGCCCAGTGTTTTGAGCACCAGCCCAGGGCAGCAGGCAGGGTATAATCCCACGGAGCCGCCTCTGCCCCGGGGTGCCAGGCCTGCGTCCCGACGGCTACGTCTGCCTGGCCAACCAGCCTGCCCCGACCCAGGGCCTCCTGCTGGGGGGCTGGAAATAGCAGCTGAGGCTCCGCGACCCTCCCGTATTGCCAGGTGTCAGGGCCCAGCCCCCAACCTACCCTGCTGCTTTTAGCCCCACCGTGTGAGCCTGAGTCGACTGACCCGAGCTCTGAGACTTGCAGCCATGGGCCTGCCTGGGAACGTGGGCTGCCCGCCCGCCCATCTTTCTCTCCCTGCCCCCCTTAACCTCCCCCGCTGCATTCCAGGATCAAGCAGTGCACGGTGGTGAACATGGACGACCTGATCACGGTGCACCACGAGATGGGCCACGTGCAGTACTTCCTGCAGTACAAGGACCAGCCCATCTCCTTCCGCGACGGGGCCAACCCCGGCTTCCACGAGGCCATCGGCGACGTCATGGCCCTGTCGGTCTCCACCCCCAAGCACCTGCACAGCATCAACCTGCTGGACCAGGTGGAGGACAACAGCGGTGAGCTGGCCAGGGCCTGGGCCGCTCCCTGCTGCTAGCAAGGGGCCCGCTGGCGATGGAGATAGCGTTGGGGAGGGATCCAGTGTACATTCCTGTGGGATGCCTGCCTGCTGTCAGCACTTGGAACCTCCTGAGGCCTGTCAGTGGCCAGTGATGTGGATGGGGTGGTGGCCAGTGGGCGTGGCAAGAAAGGGGTGTGGATAGTACAGCTCTGGGGCCGTGTCCTACCCGCCTTCCAGTGCTGGAGGGCCCCCGTGTTCCCTCGAACTTTTCCCATCCATGTGCGGAATGAATTTTGTTGCATGCACTGAGGCATGTGTGGAGTACGCACTACCCCATGCTGCCAGCTGTGGGCGCGCTGCTAACCAGCTGGGGTGGTGCTTGACTCTCTCCTGGGTGGCCGCCCTTGCACACAGCCTACAGGGAATGGGGCTAGCCAGGCGTCTTTGTTCACCTCCCGTCCCCTCCCCCTCCTTCGCAGAGAGTGACATTAACTACCTGCTGAGCATCGCCCTGGACAAGATCGCCTTTCTGCCCTTCGGGTACCTGATGGACCAGTGGCGCTGGAAGGTGTTTGACGGGCGCATTAAGGAGGAGGAATATAACCAGCAGTGGTGGAACCTCAGGTCAGTCAAATGTTCCTGCCTGGCGCTGGAGGCGCGTCGGACTGCACCCCAGGCTGCCCAGCCCCGGTCCAGTCTGGGGATTTCACCCCCCCGCAGCCAGCCCTTCCGTCTCCCTGTAGCGTGCTCCCCTTGCGAGCCCTCTGACCCACCAGCCCCTCCCTGCCCTTGACAAGGTCTCTGCTAATTGCTACACCCCCACCCCTGCCCAAGGGCATAGAATCATAGACTCATAGAGCTGGAAGAGACCTCAGGAGTCATCAAGTCCAGCCCCCTGCCCAAGGCAGGACCAATCCCAAGTAAATCAACCCAGCCAGGGCTTTGTCAAGCCGAGACTTAAACACCTCTAGGGATGGAGACTCCACTACTTCCCTAGGGAACCCGTCCCAGCGCTTCACCACCCTCCTAGTGAAATAGCTTTTCCTAATATCCAACCTGGACCTCTTCCACCACAACTTGAGCCCATTGCTCCTTGTTCTGCCATCCATCGCGACTTAAAACCCTGCCGTGGGGCCATGCCAGCTGCGGGTCCCTAACCACTACTCTCCCCTGCCGGCTGCAGGCTGAAGTACCAAGGCCTGTGCCCGCCCGTGCCCAGGTCGGAAGACGACTTTGATCCTGGGGCGAAGTTTCACATCCCAGCCAACGTTCCCTATGTCAGGTAGGCAGGCCGGGCCGGGGCTGCCCGTGTGCGCCGTGGGCCCCAGCCTGGGACAAGGGCCGTGATGGGAAGAGAGACCGAGGGGCGGGGCAACAGACGGGCGTGGGTGGGCCGGGCGGTGGTGCCAACCATGGAGCCCGTGTGTGCTGTCGGCCAAGCG